CAATGTTCTGTAGTATGTACTCTCTGTTGCGGGAATATGCCGTTATGACGGAATTATTAAACGCACACAAATGCAGCATGCTACGAAATTCCAACAGTGTAAAAACACAACTGCTGTTTTTCAATATCATACATGAGGGGTTTCTAAAATCAATATAATGACACATCCACTAAGTAACCTCAGATTTGGCTCTTTTAAACGTTTACCTGTCTCATCATTCGACAAGGATCACCTATCAAGAACGGACGCGCGAGGCTCAGTTTCCTCGAAATGCAACTCCCTTTTTAAGAGGGTTAAGGCGTGCCGAAACTTACCTTTCTCGAGAAGCCGCTTTGCGTGATGCAAGTTTTCTGGAACCTTCTCCAACTCCTGCTTTATTTCTTGAATCGTTGCTTGAACAGCAGGATCCAACGGAGCGGGCGTTGCTGAGTTATCGTACTGGTATGCGGAATGCTGACCGTTTTCGTGTACTTCTGATCCGATGTTCCCGCTGGGTTGCTCAGTACTTACTGACGTTTGGTAGTGAATCGGATCACTCTGGTAAGCAGCACCGTAAGACATATCTTCCTGACCACCGAACATTGCAAAATAAAGTCTGCGACTACAAATGTTTGTATTATCGAAATTACTAGTCAGCGAAAATGTACCGTATCCAATATGGCGGAGACTTTCACAGCAACTAAAGCAAACTTGCAAGTCAACAGACACAGCTCTTTTCTAATTACTTTCTGTTCTGATCGTCAACGTTTCTGCATATTTTAGTGAATCATATTTTTTCAATTTCCATCTAAATTGGATGGCAAAATCATTAATCATACATTTTCATATTGCCAATGTCTAACCAAAAAAAACTGCCGTAGACGTTAAAATTTGCTTATTTCCCGAAAATGCGTATAGCGCTTACAGTTGGAACGAGTCAGAATATTTCTATAAATAGTCTAGTATATTGTGCATTATTTAGTTTCTATAGCTTAACGATATTCTTCATTCAGAAATGTGCATTTTCTGCTTTTTCACTTCTTCATCTTCCGTGGTCGCATCTCCTTTCGG